CAGGCGCCGGGGGCCTCCCCGGCCCCCGGCGACGGCCAGACGGTCTGCTGCAAGAGCCGAGCCGTTTATTATTTTAGCGTGAGCTCGTCTTCCTCCCCATCGGTCTCTGGGAAAAAGGCGAGCGAGAGCGGCTGCGAGGGGGGAACAGGCACGTCCGAACTCCTCCGCCTCTTCTGACCTAATTATTAAACTCCTCGGGCTCCAGCGAGGGGCACCCGGGCTTAATCATTAGGCAAGAAAGTTCCCTGGGGACCGAGGGGGAAGTCTTAGTAGTAAATACCGACTGGTGAGCGGCTCTGGACGATGAAGGCACGTCCGAACTCCTCCGCCTCTTCTGACCTAATTATTAAACTCCTCGGGCTCCAGCGAGGGGCACCCGGGCTTAATCATTAGGCAAGAAAGTTCCCTGGGGACCGAGGGGGAAGTCTTAGTAGTAAATACCGACTGGTGAGCGGCTCTGGACGATGAAAGCGTTCGCCCTCCTGCTGTGACTGCGGCTCTCAGAAAACCATGGAGAACGTGGAAAGGAGGCGTTTGGGGTGAAACTGAAGGATTTCTGTGGGTCCAGAAGCTCCTTGAAGAGCGCAGCCCCGGTTTGGCACACGCGTCCCTGGGTGTCCCAGGCCGAACGCCTGAGTTGTGCTTGCACGCGTGTAACGCGTAAGCACACGTGTAAATCTTTACCAGGTCGGTGTCCTTGAGGAACGCTTTGCCCTTACTGTTTGCAGGCCCTGAATGAAACGCGCCGCGCTCTGTCCGCCTCACAAACCCCTTCCGAGGTAGGTAAATATGTTCGTTCTCGTTTTACAGATGGATAAGCAGAAACAAGAGCGATACCGAGCGACTTGCCCTAAAGGTTAAACACCAAGTCTGAAACGTAACCCGGGAATCTCGGCTGAAGAACTGGTGGGTCTCTTTCATTAAAGACATCCAGGAAATTAAACCGTGTTAGCTGAGGCGGCAGGCGCTGGCGTGCTGAACCTCTTGCGACGCGGCCTTTTGGAGTCAACCGACTCAGTTTCACAACCCTGTCTTACAAACCACAGCTTGGCTTTTGTTTTTAGATCAGTACTTCAGAATAACAAACCTCTTTGTCCCACTAAGAGAAACCGTTTTGCTGCGCTGCGGTTGGAAAGCTCCACCGCTGCAGAGGGGAAGGCGGCAGCGTTCGGCAGCACTGGTACGTGTGCGTGTGCGAGGACAGCTAGCGCATCGTTTCCACTGGACTTTTTCTGTCTCAGGCCTGTGTTTTTTCATTTTGTACTGAAATCTCCTTTTCCGTCCTGTTTCGTACTCTTGTAGAACGGATATCCCCCACTAAATATAAAAAGGGCTCGGTTTGCCCTGCCGAGGTCCTCGTTGCTGCGGTGAGCCCCCCGGGTAGCTCGCCTCTATGCCGTGCCTCAGGGCCACGTGGGTCGCGGCTGGCGGCGCGGCAGCGCAGCGCTGAGCGCCGGCACGGGGAGCGCGGCCCGCGGTGGCGAGCTGGGTGTGTAATCGGGGCCGCGCTCCTGGGGGGAACCGAAACCCACGCTCAGCGTGCTGGTGGTGAGGCCCAAGGAACTTGTCTGTGTCCATCCCTGCCCGCAGCGTGTGAGATACCACGACGCTAGGAGAGCAGGTGGGGGTATTTTAACTTGGTTGAATCCTCAAATGAAAGAAATTTTGTGTCGTGGGCTATCCCCGCATGTGGTGAAGCGGCTTTGCAGCCTGGGGGGGGCTGACTTTCTCTCGCTTGGTTTGGAAGCTTCCTCAGGAATCAAAGTTGAACATTGCCCTTGACTTGAGTGGAACCCAGCAGGTCCTCTGCTTTCCTGTAATGCTGCCGTGGTTGAATGCCTAGCGAATAGCGCTGAGATCATTTTTGATTAGACAGATCTTCGATTATGTGTACTTTTGGTTGAAAGTTATTTGCTTTTTGATTAAATGTTGTTGCAGTCAAAACGGTGTACCGAAAGATACTGATGTCAATAACTTTTTCAATAAACAGGTTTGTGAAGTCACATCTAAGCACAAGAAAGAGAGCTGGGAAGAACTAAAAGTAGGTATTTTTGACCCAGACACTGCATTCTTACACAAATCGGTTTTGCAAAACCACTTCAAAAGTTTTTCTGACACTTCCAGTGAGGAATGATGCATATTTTTAAACCGCAGAAGTTGTCACAAAATGGAATTGGTGTCCAGTAGCCATCGATACGGTCAGCTCTACTGGCTTTGTGTGCTTGCGCCATACTTGGAGGAACGTATGGGATACAGGACTCCTCACTGACTTCCTGCTTCCCGTTCCTTCTTTTCTTTCAGTGTTTTTTATTTCCTCCTCTGCTCAGGCCTGTTTAACTGCCTTATGTTTACAGTCTTCTCGTTTGTGCAGCTTGTCAAAAGCCATATGGCAACTATCCCACTGACAAATTCAGCTAACAGTTGGTTTTTGGAAGAAAACCTTCAACTTTCTGCTTGTGAATTTAGATTTTTAGAGCTGTGAAGGAAATACTTTTGTTTGGTATTCAGTTAGGATTTTTATATAAGAACTTCAGTTTACCTGTTTCAGGTACAATGTAGCAGACCACGTTTAAACCTGCGAGAAATCTGAGCTCCCTTTCCGTAGCATTACACAGAGACATGTGTGTGAGCAACTTGAGTACAATGAGCCACATGTGTACTCTTGACTAAAACAGAGGTGCTTTATTTAATTATGGCAGAATCAATCTAACATGTGCTTGTCCTTGTTTACAGCCCAGTAACTTATAAAGAAGTCTTGCATGTCGCAGATGATCTTTTTAAGTGCTAACATTCAGAAAAAGCGAAACCGCAAATTATGTGCATACCTGCATTCAGATGTCTTTGTTAGATTATATCAAAGTAATAATTTGGTTCCATCATTTTCACAATGCTGTTATGCCCGTTGTAATGCATGTTGCACATTGCCCTGGAGCAGAGCTGGTATGAGTTGTAGGAATGTCTCTGAAATCTAGGTTAGGCCAGTAACCCCCCCCCCCCCCCCCAAGCCTCCCACTGCATATGAATGCTACTTTAGCTCTCATAAACACAGAGTGATAACTAGGGAGACTTTATCTCCTCCAAACTGAAACAATGCTTTCTTTTAGATAAGGATTGTTTGACACATGCTCCTGGCATTTGGACATGTAGCTGCTAAGAGGCCTTGTATTCCTGGGGAGAATACCGCATTTTACAAATGTGGTGGGGGCTGCTGCTGAACTCACGCTGCTGGGAGTGCTGGGTAGTGCTGGGTTCCTCATAAAAACTGCGTAAAGTACATAATGGATGGGGACGTTCACCCCCACGTCTGTGAGACAGTCAAGGTGAGAATTATACGACTGATTCTCACTGAGGAAAAGCCAGTGTTAATCTCTTCAGCTTTGTGCAGGAATATGAAATACCACGGCTGGGATTTTGAAACTGGGGTCTACCTCCCTTTAGTCTTTTTAAAATCTTAGCCCTTCTTTAGTATTTACTTAACTTCAGTCTCCTTTCTCAAAAAAAAAAAAAGTAAGCCCTATAAGCTAAAATTGAGGACTGTTCCCGTGTTCTTTAGCACTGCAAGAAGCTCCTGTGTGAATCCTGACTTCTGTGAAGTGCTGCACACATGCAGGTAGGGAAGAGCTGGAGAAACAGGCTTTCAAAATTCATGGCTCTTTAGAGGTACTGCTTAAACATAAGTGCTGCAGTCATTCACAAGTTATTTGTTGCCTTAATGGAAAATGTGGGCAACCCCTGATGAGCAAAAGAAGAAGTCATATTTCTGAAGCGTTGATTTAATGCTGCTGCGATTATGCTTTCATTATGACTGTAGTTACTTTTAAGAAACCTAGTTCAATTATGGATCATTTAGACCTAACGTCGTCTTCCGTGCTTTGGATCAACATTTGCACCATGGGTTTAAGAAGCATAGAAGTGGGCAAAGGCAGGCCTGAGTGTGTCTGCCCGATATCACATTCCTTTGTACCATCCGATCAGGTGCTATGAAAGCTTACTCCCAAACGAGGTGCCTGCTTAACATTTCTCCTGGGAATAATTGCTCTGTGAGAGCAGCTGGAGAATCAGGCATACCCTGCTGACAGCTGTGACATCTTTAATGTGTGACATTGTAAACTGCTCTTTCTTTTATTTTCACTTAGGTGAAATAAATTAAACTAAATGAGATTTTGGCCAAAGGACACAAAAATACCACCTGGAAAGGTGCGCTGACAAAGACATGCTTTCAAAATTGGTTTCGGCGTTAAACATCTGTGCACTGCCATCCAGTGGGCACCAGAGAATTTGCTTCTCTTCTGCCCCTTCCCAGCGATGCATGGAGCTCTGTGTATTTTCAGGGAACCCAGTGGGCACTGACCACGTGGTCTGGGGTTACTGGTGAACCCCTCCCTGCTCTCCCTAAGTAGAAGGGGCCGGAGAAAGGATGGTGCCCCGGAGACAATGCTGGCTGTCAGTGGGGATGCTGACAGAAGCACACAACTGTGCATCGTCCCCTCCCTGTCTCCATGCGGTCCTGCCTTACTACCCCCAAACAGGCATGGTGGTGGCACAGCTGCATGTTGGGTTATTGAAGGGTTCAACAGTAAGACATAGGGTGTCAATAAATGATAGATTTGTTGACAGTTTGTCCTTGAGACCGTTACCTGTAGCTGTATGAGATATCTTCTTTGTGCATTGCCAGCCCCCTAGACTGCGTACAGGAGTGTATTTTAGAGTTCCCTTGAAGACTGCATCCTGATTAGTCAATCAGATGTTTTATTAGAAGGTAAATTTCCTATTTCCATATCAACTCAACTGGATTAAAAGTCAAGAGGAAGTTACATCGTTCCCTATGCCAAAACACTGTATGCACCTTCAGATGTATTTACAGAGTATATCCACTCCATGCTGGGAAGTTCGGGAGATGGTAAACATGGAGAGGTTCACTTGACATGATGGTCTGTTCAGACCCTAACTTTTGCACGTTGCATACTTGCTTTCCTGCTCGGTGATTTCATTTTTAATGGCTATCACCTGCTCCTCTAGTTGTCTGAGTTGCTCTGCCTTGTCTTGTTTGGTTTGATTCAGGTCCTGGAGCTTCTTTTCCAAATCTGTAAGAGTAAAGTGACATGTAATGGTGAACATACTTGTTGTGTAAGTAACATCCAGGGTTTAGTAGCATTTTTTTTTTCCAATCAGTTTTAGAGGCAATAAGCCCATTTCAAATGGGGAATGCTATATGTGGAACTGAAGAGAAAAGTCCGGCTTCCAGATTTCGAGAGAAACGTGACAGCTCTAAGAGCACTTCACTTCTCAGCATATGCATTCTCGTCCATCAACTGTGATGGGCCAGGACCTAGAGCTCTTAAGCATTTGGTTCAGATGGAAAAACTCAGATGAACGTTGTGTCCATGGAGGAATGTAAAGCCTATACACTTTGGGCATAATAGGTTTAGGTCACCCTCTTTTACAGAAATGATTCTACTAGTCCCTGTGAAGCTACATGAATGAAAACATACTCGTAATGAGTCAAAATCACATTATTCACGGCTTATGTTTCCAATGCAGTTATCATCTGGGCATTTGGAATGACTGGGATGCTCTTAATAGTTCTTCTCAAGGTATCTGCTCAAAATGAGCAGATTCTGAGATCCTATTCTGAAGAATTTCCTCCCAGGATGGCATTTCTGTTTCAGTTCTGTTTAAATGATGCAGTAATTTCAGATGTTGACTCTGGTAGGATCCTAGGCCCAAGGACATTCAGTGGAAAAGCCCAGACCTTTCCTACAGGCAGAATTAAGTCCCCTCTGTGCAATTAGAGGAGACATTGTGGAAGTTGGCTTGTGCCACCTTCACCTCTGATGACTGTCTAAACCTACCCGTCAGGCTGTGTTGGAGGAGCTTCGCAGGTACTGCCGCAGCAGCTGCGGTCTCTACTACCCCATAGCCCCTTCTCCCCCTCTGCCATAGCTCAGCAGGTCCCGCGCATATAAGCTGAAATCTGTGTGGAGGTGAGTGTGGGTGAAGACACTAGACTGTGGACTGATGTGACTGGGGCACGTATCTGAGCTCTGCTCTGCTGCCCACTGTGGGATACGGATGTTTCTATACTCGTTCAAACAAGCCAATATTTATACCCGTTTTCTCTAGAGATTTGTCTAAAAGGGAACAAGAATAGACTGATGAAGAAAGGCTACCCTGCAGCTCTCTATTAGCATGAGTCATCGCTCAGATAATGTAAGAACAGACAGAGAACAGGGGAATGATTTAAGGTCTAAATGCCCAAAGCAAGTACGTAAATCAAAGCTCCCAGCTAAATCTGCAGCTAAGTTTTTCAGAGTCCGTTTCTAAGAGCCTTAGACGGGTTATGCAAGTTTTGCACTTTTCCCATTCTTAAATTGCTGGGATTAAAATCACTGCAATTCCCTGCAAGGGCACTTTTAAAACTCTGCTTATAGCAACCACTTTATATCCAAAAATATATAAAAGTCAAATCAATTTAACTACATTTAAACTGTTCGGGTAGGTTCAAGCAGGGATTTTCACCAGTTAAATTGTTTTAAAGCTGATTTCTCACAGCTAGTCTCACAGACTAGGTGAACCTAGTCTGTTAGTGTCTGTAGGCAAGGCTTCCAGTTTAATGCATGACTTTCACAGTTTTCACTGCTTGCTATGGAAGTGAGAACAGCACCTGTTATTCTTTTGATTTTTTCTTTGGTCTCTTCAGCCAGTTTTTCTGCTTCTTCTTTCAGCTGTTTCACTTTCTCTAATGTTACTTTTGGAAGTCCTTCAGCTTTTAGCTTCTCTTGAAGAATTGTGTACTTTCTTTTAATGTCAGCAAATTCCTGTAACAAAAACCCATTACTTAGTCTAAGAGCATCTAGCATCTTACAATTAATCTGGCATACTGAAGGAGATTTTTCTACCTTGTTGCATATCCTATTTGAACCAACTTTCAATCTCTTATTTTCTGAAATCTTAAAAAAAAAACTCCATAATGAGTATACATTGAACAAAGCTTCACAAAACCTGATAGAATTCAATTAGAGGAAACTGCCAGTTGAGCAATCCAAAGCATAAAGGGGCGTGAGGTTGTAAGGAAATCTCATTTAAGCTTTTCAAGAGCTTATGCTGTTTTTCCTTTTTTTTGATAGAGCTTTTCTGTAAATTTCATTTTTGCATGAGGCTTAATTCAAGTTTAATAAATTAGCCATAACATACATTTTTTACATTTTTGGCAGTAATAACGTTTACTGGCTGATTCCACCCATGATGATTTAGGTTGCCGTGGAGGCTGCAGTTTGGATCTCTACTGGATTTCTTATTACCTGGAGGCTTAGTCATGCTCTGCCTTTTGAGCTGTGGGTGCCTGGTTCTCCTCACGCAGCATGCTAGCAAATTTATAGCTGCCTCAATGCATTCTCAAAAATCGGAGCTATTTAAAAGCACCCAGCCAACCAAAAACTCCGTGCAACTCCCACAGCAGTTTTCTCTGAAGGAGAAGGGCACTAAATGAATGGCCAGACTGCCTCCATCACACATATTTTAATATCTGTTTTTGTGATTTGTTCTGTGGTGTTTATTGGTGCCTATGGTGACTACGAGTCTTATACACAGTGCAAGGAAAAGTGTCCTGGAGAAGCCAGACAAGTGTATGTGTTGTCTTTAATTCTAACTGACAGAATTGTTATTTGCTAGATACCTTAAAATAAAAAAGAAGAGATTCTTAACCTGTGGGATATTATACTGGGTGGCATAATGAAAACTTTAACACAGTTTTGAGGACAGCAGGATAGCGCAATTACACTTGTGAATCAAAAGTACCATCAAACATATATGGAATAATTTTTCTTCTTTTTGTGACAGAAAGGCTTACATTATTGATATTCTGCGCTCGCTTGTTTGCTGCTTCTGCCCCTGCTTGTGCATTTGTAGCTTGATTCCTATTCTTCATCATTTTCATCTGCAACATGGCAATTTCATCTTCCATCTCAGATTGTTTTGCTGAGAAGTCATTTAGTTCATCACTTGTCTTGTTCACTTGATTCTCAGCCTAAAACAGAACAATTGGAAGCTGTGGGTTTTATGCAATGCCCATCCGACTTGCAGAGCTTAGCAATGAAGGAGAGATTAATGTCAACTGATAACAAGAGGAACCCTGTAAATGCTATGGAATTAATGTCGTCACTGAGCCACATTCTGGCTTTGTTTATTTTACATTTACATCAGGGAAACTTTGAGACCTGTTTCTCGGGTAGTAATGTAGTATGTATGTAGTAAGTAAATTAAAAGATGTACCGCAAGATACCTGTGAGATTTGTGTTCTGATTCCTTGTATCTCTTCATTTAACTTTATGAAAGTGCCTTTGGAGTGTCCTTGGGAGTTAACAACATTTTTTATTGTATTATTAATTTCATCCACAGGTGGAAGAGCTTTTGCTGCTTTGCTAAAGCAAAAAAAAAAAAAAAATAGAAGTGTGTGGACACTGAAGAAAGAAGACGTTTCAAATCCACCCATGCTCACATGTAGAAATATGCCCTTGAGTCCAAACAGCATCCATTAAAAATACTGTTTTTTCAGCAGTTGGCAAAGCAAAACATCAGTAAGGGATCTTAGCTGTGAATATATTAGCTGATGTTAACGGTAAGGTTTGAGGCTGCAGGCTACCTGACAGTGCACTGCTACTAGTATGGAAAGCTCACTGGAGAGGTGAACGTGTTTTCTTCCTCGCCAATTCTTGCTGATTCTCTACCATCCCTATTTAAACCTTCCAGCCAACCAGATATAATGATCCACCAAGTCCCATGTGAAAGTAAGTAGCTGCTTTGGCTTCTCGCGCTCTGCTTGGCAAGTTCAGCAGCTGAGGAGCCAAGAGCACGCAGGAGCCGTCACCGTTCATAGCACGTCAGCTCCATGCAGCTCGAGTGGTCATGGCTCATTACTGCTGGGGAGGCCCTCGTGAAATCTGCTGTAATCTGAACTTTCTTTCCAGTGTTACTAGGATACTTAACTGCCTGGGATATGGAGCAGCCTTACTGTGCACAATGCAATTTCAGCTGGATTTATCACATCAGTAAGAGAATATTCTACTCACTCAGCTCGTTTTGCCTTCACCAGTAGCTTCTGAGCTTCTTCCATTTTTCCGTTTCTCTTATTCACGTTCAGTTTGTACTTCTCACAGTAGTTCATAACGTTTCTGATTTCGTCAAGCATGTTTGTTAGCTCTCGCGGGGTCAGGGGAAGGTTTATTTGCAGAACATAGTCTGCCACCTTCTCAATGTCTTCTGGAGGTGCGCTCTCATCTTTAACAAAAGCACAGCTTAGAGTATTCTGAAAGACATCCTTCTTCCCAATGAAATGTAAATGTTCAGTATGGTTGTCTACCCATTGAGACATGTGGCAGAATAAAGCTGACAAGCACCGCAAGGGGGGTAAGAGAATGATCTCTAACATTTTGTAATTTAATATACTGTTTCCAGGTACTGCCATTAGTATTGTCAGAGCTAGCTAAAGTAAGGATTTGAACCCACTTTGAACTGGGTTATTAAAATTCTGATTTAGAACTGAACCCATGGAAGGTTTTAAATCAGCACACAGCACAGCTAGATATGTCAGAGCCCGTTTCTCCCTCGGCTCTCAGATCAAAGCGGCGCTGAGGAGACTGGGGTGTGAATGAAGCTTTCCAAGCTGGCATGCGGGTGTAATCCCTTTCCCTGGAGTCGCCACAATATTTCAAAAGTGGCTCCTTCCCTGGTTAATGAGAAAGGCTAACCTCCATAAGAAAGTTGGGTCAGACTGAGATAGGATGGGAATTTACAGTAGAATAACCATATTTTGACAACTTCCCCTACAGATGATTTCTTCCTAGTTCCACCTTTGCACGGTGGCACAGGCACACTGAGCTAGAGTGGTTAATGCCTTGTAAAGTCTTATCATCGCTTCTTGTTGTACCCATTTCCCTTTGTAGGCAAGACCTTGGGTGATAAAGCAGTTGAAACACATACTAAATGTTTGTACTAATGCTGCAAAATAGCTTACCAAGAATTGAATAATAGACACCTACAGGGCAAACGGTAGTACATTCCTGAGAGGTATTTTCTGTAGAAATGTGTCAATGTACAGTATAGCAGATTTAATGTATCTGTAAGCATCTTAGCTGCTATAGTACATAAATTTTAGATTACAAAGCAAAAATTCATGCATCAGTGTTTTTCCAATGTTAGAAAGTAAATGCTATATTTGTACTAAGAAACAACAAAGAAGAGCCGAAGACGAATTTGGCAATCGCTACCAAATAAAATCTGAGACTCTTAAGGCCTTAAATGGAGGTTTTCCTCCAAATTTCAATAAAGTAATCTAAATGTTCCTGAACGGGGGAAATCCTCTCTACTCAGCTCCCACTCCCTCACTGCTATTTGGATGTGGAGGTATGAACGCGAAAGGACTGCCAACACGCAGTCCTTACAAAATTATGAGATCAGCTATATTCAAGAGATTTTAAAAAATACTAATACATTTGGACTCCTTTTACGCACCTTTCTGAAAAGAAATCTTAGGGTCTGTCTCTTAACTTTTTCACAAGGGTGGAAAAAGTTTTAGGTATTTATGGTTGTTTTGTTATTTTTAATGAGAGCTAAAGTTCTGCTGGAATCCTTTGATTCCTCAAGTTACAGCTTTATGGAGAAGATGGAGCAATATGTCACTTTGCATCCTAATTCCCACGCTCCCTACTGACAGCCTCTATTTATGGGTCTGGGGGAAGGGGATGGAATAACAATTTGGGATGTACTGGACATGCCTGGACGTTATATATTATAAGAAATTACATCAGTAGTACTTTATTCCGATAAACCAGGAACCGAGGGAGTTATGAGCATGTTTCAAATTAAGCAAATTAATAAAAGATAACACAACAGATCTATGGGAAAATTCATACAAGATACTGTCAGTGGGGAGAAAGAAACACTATAAAAAAGGAGTTGAAAAAGATTTCTCAGATCAGTAGGTAGACAAGAAGTTAAGTATAGAGCTAAATCATTTTCTGGCTGTATATCATGATATATCATACTAGAATACACACACACACACACACACACACGCATATATATATTATATGTATAAAATCAGAAGGAACTTTTTTGTACATTTACCTAACAAGAAGACTTTTACTTTTCTGATGAACTCCTCAGTGATCTCGTGGTCAACTTCAATTTGATTCTTAGCTCTCTGTAGTTCCCCATTTAATTGTGAGCCTTTCAGCTTGGTGTCTTCTGCCATTGTTCTGATGCTTTCAACCTGGAAATAATTTTAGAAATAGCACTGCGTGTTTCTGGAAATTATTTACCATTGCTTGGCAAGTTGAGCTCTGACACTAAAATAATTGTTATATGAGTCTCAGGTGGAATCACTTGATTCCAAGAGTTGTGGCTTTGGAAACAGCTTAGTAGAAGACCACTTTGGGGAACTCCAGAAGTTGTTTCATCATGGCCCTCGCCTGGCCTCAGAGCAAAGCTTAAATCAAGCATTTTTTTCTCTGCAAATACTGCTATGCCACAAGCCCTCTATTTCTAAAAGAGGGCTCTGGCTGCTATTTTCTATTGCAGTATTGCCTGTGTGAGTGATCAGATTCAGTAAAGAAAAACGCACATAATTTCATTTGCCTTTTCACATTGGAATCACTGTTAAAATTACACTTAAGGGGACACAAATAAGAAAGAGTTTTAGGCTTGTGTTTAGAAGCTGCATTTTGCCATTCAGTTTGTATTCCTGATCATTTAACTGAGAGCTTTAGTTTAATTATCACATTCTAACAATATTTTGCTTTGTTCGCAGCTATGCTTTGCTTTAAAGAAATGCACAGGTGCTGCTTCTTCGTGTTCTGTGGAAGGAAGCGATTCAGCTTCCCTGTGCAGCAAGAACAACAATGGTGTTTTTTATTTCTGAAACATCTCAGCACATTTCCTGCACGTTCACTGCTCCTCAGCAGTCCCCCTCCGCACACCCCTTCCAGCGGCAGAGCTGGCCTGAGGCTTGTGAGGGCCAAAGGCAGTGGCCTGGCAGCCTCCCGCTGCCACCTCCAAGGGCGGCATCAGCCTTTCGCTGTTATCTCTGCACGGCCTGGAGCCCAGATATGTGCCCCGACTGCTCATTTCTAAACCCATTAGCTGTAATGCTAAGTGTCATGTGTATTTTGAAAGGAGGCAGTGGATGCCGAGGCACCCTGGAGGGACAGAACAAAGCCACAGCAGAATTACATTTCTGTTGGAAAATTTTTTTTTCCTATAATTATAACAAGCATCATCTCCGATTGTTAATGAGAACAAACTGTCTTTACTGTTGCTCTGGGATTCGTCCATTTTGTTTCCTTCGCATTGGCCACACTTGGCTTGCGTTATTTCCAGTGCTACTGTGCAGCAAAGGGGAGCAGCTGATTACTTGATGCCCTTCTAAACATCAGTGGGGAGGGGGCAGAAAAACTTTGGATTGAAATTAGTCCCAAAAATTCTTTAAAGGCAAACATAAGAAAAATATGAAGTTATGTAGGTTGAGTTTAATGCTGTGCACAGCACTAATCCCATTGGAATGAATGTGAGCCATACTCAGGCTACTGACAAACGGTACCATTCGAATCTGTCCCAGTAAGAATATAGATAACACTAGCCTAACCCCACCAAATGCCGTAGGTACAGAGCACCATGACCAGTGAGATCTTGGCAGCTGCAGGGCAGAGTAAAGTATATATCCCTTCGTGGGACTGGGACCTAGCCCCTAACACCTCCAGGACTGAACCACACTACTATGCAGTTGGGACATAGTCCATCACTAAACCACTGCTCTCTGTCAAAGGAACAAATGAGTTTCTGCAGGGTTGGGGCCTTATACTGCATCTTTCCTCATCTTAGCTGTCTACAGCTTAGCCATCCAAATCTAAGCCAGCCACCTTTGCAGTGTGAAAAAAACATACACCTTCCAGCAGTGACCGCTGCATCCTCAGATATGTATCTGATATGGAGAAGAAAAAGTTGGAGCTGCCTATCTCTTTCCACTAATTATAAAAGGAGCATGGCTCCTTTTATAGCTTAGATGCCACCAGTTCCCTCCCCATGAAGCAAGGAATCCCACCCTTAGCACCTTGCCCAACACGAGGCATCTGTTCTAGAAGTGAGCTGGGCTCTTCTGCTTCTCACGTCCGTGCTCCAGACAACTTTTCCTCCCTAATGGGACAAAGCAGCAGAGGAAGAGCCCACTTGTTGAAGGCAGCAGTGCCACGGGAATTGTTCGGCTCCCTGGATTTTGAGCACTTCAGCATAACTGTGCTTATGGATAGGACACTTACTAAGCTGTGTTTTCCATGAAGGGACTGCCCTGTTTCCCATCCTCCATCCATTACATTGAGCAAATTAAGTTTGATATACAGCACCTGGTTCTCAGGTTCCTGTAGCTGAGTAGTCAAGTTTTTTAATGACATAGCAGTCTCCTCAGCTTTCCTGAAAGCATCTGCAGAACGAGGAAGAGCTCCACTGCAGTCTGGGCCACCACACTGCTTGAGTCCGTACCTATCTTGGCACAGAGCTCCCCCACACGCTGCTGTAACACACGGCTGATTTCCCGGCACCCCACAGATCTACAATAAACAACATGTTTGTGTCAAGAATCCTCTGTGGTTCTGAAATATGCTTCTGAAGAAGAAAGATGTTTAATGTCACATGCACATTGAACTTTATATGGGCATTTTCTCTAAGAGAGGGTGGTCCAGTCTCTCCAAAGATGCGGGCCAGTGAGAAGACCCCCTTCCTTGACTAAAAGGGTGCAAGAGCAACCCATGGCTCCAAGCGTCTCCTTGCAAGAGCCATTTGTGGGACTCCATATGCTGCACTAAGACACTTGCATCACTCCTCCATGGCAAAAGGGCTGGAACGGTCTCCTGGCCATGTCCAGCCCATGGATATGTCCTAAAGGATCCAGATCACCTCTCACACTACATAGTACCATATTACCAGCGTGCAGGCCTTTCTAGGGCACTCAGCAATGATTCACTTGACAAACTGCACATAGCTTTATATACAGTTGATACAATAAAAAAACAATTGGCCAGTTTCTTGGTTTTTTGATACCAACAATTTGGTATCAAAGGAAAACGCAAAAGCTATTTTTGGGTATTGGGGATGAAGCCTTGTTTACATGCAAAATGTAACTAAGAATTCTGAAGACATTGGGATGTTCTCGGGCTGCATCCTAAGGGGTCCATGGTCGTGAAATCAATGAGCAATTTAGGTTGTATCTATTACCTACAATGTAGTCTTGTCAGATGCTGACCCTTTGGAGTCATCGGGAAGAAAATTTACAGTAAGCAGTCCTTGATAAGTACTGTGAGAAAAGCAGGGTCAGGCAGCCCTGCAGGGCCAAATACTTTGATATCTCATCCTTCCCTGGAGCTTAGGGAGCATAATGGACTTTCTCATCTTTCGTTTAGCTAAGTCCATTTTAGGCACCATATTTAGCCATGTGACTGTCCCACATCTGGATACAACTGTGATACAAGTAAAATATAAAAGGGCCTTATTTGTAAGCCATAGTCTAATCAGCTTGAGTGAGGATTAGTTTGACTGCAGAGCGTGGTAAAATCCAGGCTACTCTTCACATGAGAATCAGGTTTATAGACAACTAAATTTTAGCCAGTCGTGTGGCATGACTTCATACGTATTGCTGACAGGACCTTAATGTCCATACAGGGTACACAAGAACTCAGTTATGTAAGAACCCCAAAAATGAATGGTTGAATTGATCCTATAGGGCTAAAACACTTAGATATTTTGACATGGATATTCAGAGTGAAGGCCTGGACAGATTCTCTCTTCCACGTCTGGCAGTGTTGGCTGAAGATCCTATCATTACTGCCTAGCAGGAGGTTATTATCCCTTCCTGTCCCATAGGTGATGCAGAGGATCATGTGAGCACCCCCTCATCCACTCCAGGTCAAAGCTACCTGGCTTAGTTTAAGCCACTAACAAAGGTGGTTGGGGCTAATACTTTACACTGAAGTGCTCTTGAGAGTAGAGCGTGCTTAAATTGCTCCTTCTGCTGGGTCTGCTGTGGGAGCAATGGCTCCCCGAAGAGTGGTAGTAACTAGCACCTGACAAGTACAGCTGTTTCTGAAATGACTGCATGTCTGTGCCAGGGAACTAACATTTTCCAGATTTAAAATGCAGTAAACATCCTTTTAAAATAAAAATTACTAACAGCAGCTAAAATGAGATTTTTATTTAGCTCCCATTAAAAATCCACAGTGCCTACCTTTTCATTCAAGTTTTGGATGTTGGGGGTCTTGATCATGTTGAGTTGTTCCAGTACATTGCTTTCTTTCAAGGCACGATTGTCCAGCATAGCAAGTACACTGTTTCTGGTGTACTCTGAATATCTTAAGAAAGGGATTGTCCCACTGGTTTTCTTTTCAGCTAACAATGATATTTCAAAATGTTTCCTAATGTTGCTGAGAGCCTCTGTAAGAACAGAAATAGTGTGTAGTACAGACTGTACTTTGGTTGTATTAAACTCATGTATTTACTTGAATTCTAGACATGTGGTGAGTGACAGGTGATTGAGTTTGTGTCACAAGTGTTTGACTTGGGATAGCAAGGAAGGACATGAACTGTAATTTTCTCAGTCATTTTTTTTTTAATCCTTTATTCAGCCAGCTGCTAAATAGGAATAGCTATTGATACCCATAAAACCTGCTCAAATGGATGCAAATGCAGTGGATCCTACGTCATTCTTCAGAGCCCAAAGTACATGGGCAGCCAACGGAAATTACAAAAGTATGAAGGGAATCTGATTAACGATACAAACCGCTATTGATCTGCATTCATCACTAGCTCATCTATTCCTGCAGTTACTGATTTGACAGAAGCTCCTGTCATTTATGCTGTTCTGAAGTTCAGGCAGTGGAAGTGGTTCTGCCAGTTGTAAAACCTATGAAGTGATCACTTCTGTGACTAGGACTCACAAAAGCATTTGTCCTGTCTCTATTCAGCATAGCACCCAAAATTAAATGGTTCGCGGAACTGAGGTCAAAATTTAGAATACAAATGGGAATTTATGAGTTTCATTTGGCTCTGGAAAAATTCAGTTTCGGGGTTGATGTATTAAAAAAATGTATTCCCATGATAAGCCTCTAGGCCAGGCAACAAACGCTTTCCAGCAAAAGTCTTTCTTATTTGCTCAGTGTAAGCTTTCCTTAAAGTAGAGACTCAAAAGGGGTGAGGAATATCACACTTTGTTTGCAGATTAATAGCCTTGAAGAAAGAACTGAGGCCTTTTAAAAACTCATAGTTTGAAGTTGCTGCCATCAAGGCTGCCCAGACCTCCAGAGTTTTTCCCAAATCCCCAAGGAGAATTATGTGCAATAAGCCAGAGCTGATGTTTCTGCAATAAAAAATCATTAAAGGTCATTGATGCACATCTCTCTTTGTGTTGGTAACCAGCTCAGTTACCACTGAAGTCAGTAACCGGACTCTCATCAAGTCCTTGTACGCTTTGAATCAGGCACTAAAAACCTTGGCCTTGCTTTGACTTGAAGTTCACCAGAGTTTAGTTATTGTGTGGAGTCAGGTCTATTTATTTTATGTTTCAACTCTTGGAAACAACATATAATTTAAAGTTAGATCTTCACACAAAACATCTGGCAAGAGTATGCTGTATCTCAATATCTGAGCAAGAGACTATTTTCTATGCAAGAATTTTACCGCAGGAATATTTTACAGTGGTTCATTAAATGGCTCACTGTTAATTAAGTGGCCCAAATGCACTTTACACTCTTGATTTGTCATGTAGCTGTAGCGTTTCCAAGTTCCTTTACTTTAAACATAGCACCTTAACACTGGCTTAGTTTACATTCTGGGAAACCATACTCAACACATTACAATACTGTAATCGGCTGTAAACCGAGGGACCGAGGCTGTAAGGAGGTGAATTACTGAGGATTCATAAACTGCAGATGTTCATTTAAGGACATTGATGTTCTTGCTTTTTCCAGCAGTTTTAATTCACCATTAGATATCAACATTTCCTACTCAGCTAGCTGAGTACATGTCTGTGAGGAAGTCTGAGTCCTGACCTTTGGTTTGCTTAGACCTCTGCAAAGAGAGGTAGGTCACACCGCATCTCCCCCTGTGTGTCTAGGGCACAAATGTGCCCCAGGTGAGATACATGGCCATATCCTCCATCCTGCTCTACCCCATTTACTTGGACCAGCAAAAGAGAGAGAGGGAAAATCAGGCAGAGCAGTGAGGATGTGCTGCTGGTCCTGAAATGGAGATGGGGCAAGGGAGGCCAGCTCTCTCCACGACACTAGAGAGGCTGCTGCTTTAAGGGACGTGTTATTTCTGGTGCTGTTAGCTGTTTGGTAGCAGGACCAATGAATATTTGTGGCCCTGACCAGAAATGCAGCTTAAACTCAAGGTCTTGCCCTCCCCACACCCCCGTGTGCTTTTTATAGGACTGTTTATCTGCCTCCAGAGGCCTAAAGAGTGAAGCGGGCTTAGCGTGTGACCAGAGAGCATCACGGATGCTTCAGCTGTGCATCCACTGACCTCACTGGGATTTATTGTTTCTTTGCCTTCCTGACTTTCTCAAAGTCAGCACAAGACATGATAGAATTGGGAAACTGAGCCTGGGAGAGCTGCTCTAAATCTAAATCTTAATTAATCCTGCTCTTTCCGTCTTCCTTTCCCTCAGCTTTATATTCCATTGACCTTTCCTTCATTCTTTTCAATCTTATTTAGGCTGATCTTTTTCTTGCCTGAATGAAACACAGAGGGACTCTAAATGGGGGGTGCATTGCCTGTATCTTGTGCCTTCCACAGTGCTCACCATATCTTTGGGGGGCTCGCACAGCCACTTCCGAGGTCAGCTAGTGGAATGTATACTGCTGGCAGTCTCCTGCCCTTGTGGATGGTAATATCTGCTCAAGACCCCCAGCTGGTACAGTCCCCTTCTTCTCCACAGACCAGTTTGTGACATTGTCATTACTATTAGCAGCTGATGGAGACTATACTTAGCTCAAGCACAGTGTAATTCTTTCAAAAATGCCAAGGAACTCAGTTCTGACTTCACATTTTTTGAGGATGGAGAACTAGTTCCTTACCACATGAAGTTATGTGTTTTCCCATAGGAACATCGGGAAGTTAAAGTATGAATCCCTGCTTTAATTAAACAAACCCTTGCTAGACAACATTTTTAAAGTATTGCTAAGAGCAGTAGGAGTCAGAAGCATGGAAAAAAATCATCGGTTCTTCTAGTTTGTGATCTTTTAGTCTATATTGGGAAACCAGGTTGCTTTTAAGCTTTACATCAGGATTCACCAGACTTTTGAGTGATGTGACTCTGGCATATGCATCTGAAATTTAGGATGCTGGAAATCATGGCATTTTAAGATAAAAGGGAGTTTGGAAAGTCAGTATAAAAAAATGTTAATATTTACATTTTTGCATTATCATAGGAAGCTAAAATCTAAGGATTTTTTTGATGCATTGCATGATTCAATGGTGAGAAAAATGTGCATGGAATTTTATGGAAAATGTTCACATATTTCAATGAATTGCTGACTGCCTTACCTTTGAGGTTCAAGTAATGAAAACTGTGATGTAGATGTATTTTCTGTTGCAGAAGTTCATACAGGAGGTCAGCTTCTTCCCCAATCTTTTCCATTCTCTCATTAAAGTCAGGAAATTCATACGCTATATTGTGAAGCGTATCCATTTGTGCAACTTGTTGTCTAAAAGGGAAATTACAGTTATGCAGAAGTCAGACTGGATTGTTCTCAGACTAGAACTGAGATACACAAAATTTTGAGGACAACAGATAATTTTCTAAATGAGTAGAAGCATATACTTGTAATGGCTTATTTAGGAAACTTTTAGGATGAACTTGAAAAGTTCCATCATTCAAGTAAACATTTGTGGGGGACAAATAATACATATATGGATTATTTTGTTGGCAGATCAACTGAAAACTGTAAATTAATGATCCAGCATCTATGTGCTGATCAGAAACAGGATTTCAAGTGCAGGGCATGGCTGGGGAAGCGCCACAGAAGACAGCTTTCTCAACTAAGCGATCTTTACAGGGGCAGCAGAGTCCTTACTGCATGAAGGCATGAAAATCCTTGATGTCTGCAAATGCCTCCAATGAAAGAACAGGATGTTTCAAAATTCTTTCAATTTCAGAAATGGTGTTTCCAAAGCCTTTGAAGTGCATATCACAGCTGGGCATTCGTCCTCCTTTATCTTCTAGATTTGCAGCGAACCTCATTAACCCCTCAACAGTCTGAGAGAGGGTAGTAATTTCAGCATCCCACTGATCAAAACAAAGATGACACTGACGGCAAGAGGGAAACTCTTTCTCAAAGCCACGGCCACACTGGTCACAGAACCTCCCGATGACACCAGCACGGCAGTTACACGCACCAGTGGCTTGGTCACACTTGGGCTGGTCTGTTCCTTCCTGGTTACACTTGCATGCTGCAGGATAGGGGCAGAAAGTTACAGAGCATTGTTTTGTTTCCCTGGGAGCAAAACACGCAAAAAAAGTGTCACCCTGTATTTCACTACAGTAAAAACAAACACATTCTCTGTGCTGTTGTTCAAGCCCACTAGACTGCGATTCGCAAGTGTACCTAAAGGGATTGCCCTCAAACAGTATTACCTTGCTGAGCCAAATGCTGATATGTGGGGTTTATTTTTCTTTACCTGCTTCTGCTAAAGGTTTCTCTTTTGCACCATAATAGCATGTTTCCTAACAGTACTCAATTCCGCTTCTCTAGCATCGCTTCCCTTTGGTTATAAACTGAAGGTGACATTTCACATCAGCTAACTTTAGCTGCCTAAAAGCATCTAATCTATGCTAGTTATCCAGGCTCCTTCATAGTCAGTGGGAAGAAGTAGGTACATCCTAAAATCAACCTAAATAGGTATCCAACAAAAATTGGACAAATTGCTCTTCAGAGGCACTTCTCCACCTTCACTGCCTAGAAGGAGCACGTGCTCTGATTAGAGGAGTTCAGACTAGACCTCCAGCTTATAGACAGCTACAATCAGGTGAGACAAATCCCACCTGAAATCTCATGCTGATGTTTTCACGAGCTAGGGAGCAGCTGCTCATAGCTGCACTACACACACTACTTCAGCAACCTTCAACTTCAACAATTTCTAAAGAGCAGACTGAAAAACAGTGTTCAGGCTACAGTGAACTGCACTGCTTGCCTGAAGCAATAACAGAGATAAATGCAGTAACAATTTTATCTGTCATACACACGCAACTATCCAAAGTATCCAAGCTGGTTTCTCTAGATCTATGTCCCATCTCCCCATGAATACAAAGGCCAGAAACTTATATACAGGCAGTTTCTAACCCAGTTGTGCCCAACTAATAATACTTACGAATGCAATGCGTCTGTGGATTGCCAAAGTAATTTTCTTCACACTCATCACAACGCCTTCCGCTGTAACCTAGCTTACATGGACACTGGCCTGTAAACTGTAACAATAGTTCAGGATTAAATGACTGCCCACAGAGTAGGACGACTGAATATAGATAATCTATGGGGTTTTCTTTTCTCTATGACCTATGTAATACACCTCTATGAGGACTGTAGTGGCACCGCTTTCATACATTCTTTAAACAACTTGGTTTATATATTGCTGGCCCAAGATTCCCATCTACTCACAGTCACCTTCTTAAAGGTTGTGAAAACAAAATGGACTTTGAGAGATGGCTTTAATTGATTAATACGAAAAGTTCTGCATGTTCTAGTCTACAGATGATCTTCAAGAACTCATCATCTGACTATTATCTGAGAGAGGATTTTTTCTCTGTAACTCGCAAAACAGATAAATTAATTTTATTTATTTTTGCTGGAGCAAAGTAGTGATCTTGACAATTCAACTTTTAACTATACGATATATTAACTGTAACTAAAAATCTCAAGGGTACATTATGTACATTGCTCTATAAAATTTATTTTGGAATTCAGCTACTAAATTAAACTGCAGGGAATTACAGTTCAGAGAACTAGTACAACTCAGAAAAGCAGTAGTAGTTCTTTGAGATTAAGAGCTACTTTTCCTAGGAAAAATTAGAAAGCCACTAAATAAACTGGAACAAGCAGAAAGCATATTCAAAACAAAGTGTGAAAGCACATCAGCAAGATCTTGGGATAAGCTCCTGTTGCTATGAAGTCAATAGCAAGACAGCTGTTGGCTCCAAGGGATTGCAATTTCACTGCTGAAACACTCTTGTAATTTTCCACATTTTAGCCTTTAGAAGTACACAGAAATTAAATATGATAAACATACTCTGAAAGTATTATAGATGAGGCATCATTACTGTCACAACCTCAGCTGCTACGTTATGAAAAGTAATGCTTAAAACAACACTCACAAGACTTTTGGGTCCAAGACTGGACTTACTCCTTCCCTGCATGTAGGCCGATGAGGCAGGTATTTCCTATGTGTCATTTTCTTACAAAGTATTTCTATGATCCACTTTACCAGGAAACACGCAGGCAAAGAGAACCTGCTTATGAGCACGCTGCATTATCAGAACAGCACGTTTGACGCCATGATTACTGTGCCAACTCCAAACTACCAAAGATTTGTATTTTCAGGACGCAAGACAAAAAAGTATCCTCATTTATGAGACGGTCCTGACCATGTCATGTCAAAATGCCACCTTTACAGTTCCTGGAGAGCAGAATAATTCTCTTGCCTGGTTACACTGGTTACTTTGGGAATGTTCTGGATTGCAGTCACAGAGCTGACATCCTTTTCCACTAGCCATGTCCCAGTAGCCAGAAGCACACTGGTCGCAGGTAACGCCCACGACGTTAGGCAAGCACGGGCAGGCTCCCGTGACGGGGTCGCAGAGGCAGGCTTCGTTCCCAGCCGGGCACACGGCAGGGCTAACACCTGCAAGATTGCATGTACATCCTGGATAAAGAAGGACAATTACTATAGTAGAAGATAATAGACAATCAGAACGGTACATAAAGGGCATGCTATTGCATTACTTCCAGTAATCTTGAAAATGTCTTTAATCTCATTTAGTTCGCATATCTTTCTATGGTAGCTTACATATGGCTTTGAACAAACTTACTGGGAACTTTTAATACTTTTAATACAGATACAAAAAATGAAGGTCTACCGAATTTTGAATATTATTAGAATGAAATGTTAAATATGTCGAATAAGGAGGAGCTGATGTACAGTAGGCGCTATAGAGCGTGGGAAATGCCAGTTAATGGTAAACTAAGTGAGATAAGAAGTCTTCTTGCTAAATCGTTTCTAACTGACATCGTCCAAGAATAAACAAGGAATGGGTCTGAACTGTGGTTTAGAGACTCCCAGAACAAAGGAGCTTCTTGAAACTACTTAGATTTGTCTGGCCTGTAAAAATGAGACCCTCAGTCAGCTTCATTTGTGAAAATAGTCTTTGAAACTGAGACACCTTGGGCAGAAACCTATGCCTTGAATTTTCTTATGCTCCTTCCTTTCTGCTAGAAATGCTGAGTTATTGACAGCGTCCTCATGTAGTCTGTTAAATTGTCTGAACAGTCTCTTTCTAGCTATTTGATAAATGCAACCGGTAAGGCTGGGAGCTCAGCAAGGGATCATCTGATTAGCTGAGCATTGCTTAGCTGGCATCAGTCAGCAATATGGATAAACAATTATCTTTGATTCCTTTAATTTTGATTCCTCCCTGAAAGGGCTGAATGCACATTTGTTTTTCTAGCAAAGAATACTGATTTCATTTCACAGATGAATGTTTCCTAGGAGAGATATTCAGTATAAGATTTAGTGAGACTTGGATGACAATGGAGGAATTTAACAGATTCCATATTAACAGTTATTTGTATCACTGGATAGAAATGTATTCATTACTCTCAGATGCATATTTTGCTCCATTCTTCTCCGTTAGTTGTACTGGCTCTAAGGACTAACTTCTCCCTATAGCATAATTTCTTTAAAACTTTTCTTGGTGGTAATATGCAGCTGCAACGCTGTTGCTTACTTACTTCGGCAGTTCTGACCAACAGCAGAGCCAAAATATCCTGGTTTGCAGAACTGGCAGTTTGCTCCATGTGTGTTGTGTAAACACTTAATGCATTCTCCAGTGACCCTGTTACAGGATTCTGGGTCTGTCAAATCAATGTTATTGTTGCAGGAACATGGCACACAGTCAACCCCAGGGCTTCCTGGATTTTTGTAGAACCCGCTAGGACACTCATCACACTGACTGCCTGTCAGAAAGCAAGGTAAAAACATTTGCTGGCTGATGGAAATTCAAGTGAAACATATAATTTTTAATAATACTGTTAGAGGATTCAGACTGTCTGTTCAAATGCACATTACCAATGGAAAATATCAACCTGTTTGACACTGTTGCACTTTAATCCTACGATCAGTTAAAATTCTCTTGCATGCTGCAAGCTGATGGAAATGCAACCTCTTCTCTTTTCACCAAGGAAGTCCTTTCAATGGGAGTAAATAGACACCCCCCCAGACAACGCCTCTGAACATCTTTTTCCAGTGAAGTCCTTCCAATAGCAGTAGTGAGGGTTGGGCCATTCTACAAGATTTTCCCTGTGGCCTTGAGGCCCGCAACATCGTGGGAAGGTGGGGGATGCCCTTTCCTGGAGTGACCCAGAGCCCAGCAGACCTGCCCTCCTTTCCATAACCCACCGGAGGATCCTCCACGAGGTCACATCAGCTCTGGGGTCTTCACTGGCTCTGTCCTAGCTCACTGGCACTACCACTACAACTGCAGCTACACCCTCCCTGGTTAGGGGTGCTCCCTTATCTGCATCTCGGAAACCTTTCTGGGGCAGACAGGTGTCACTGGGACCTCGTCCACTGGCTCATCCTCATGCAAGGACTCTTGGCTCCTTTGCCTCAGATCCCAGGTACCAGAGCCCTTCCCAGTCTCCAAGGAAGTGAGCCTGGTGCCACAGAGGTGACTCAGAGCCTTGCCGGGAGACATTAGGAGGAAGAAAGTCCAGAACTTAGAACACTGGTAGTTTGTGAGGACTGAAGTTCCCTGGGTAAGTAACAACAAGGATAAGTTTGGCCCTATAGCAATTAGTCAAGCAAAACTCCTCTTGACTTAAAAAAGAACCTGGCATAAGGAAAGATGACAGCATTGGTTCAGATTTCAGTTGTGCTCTTCATTAAGGGTTGCTTCCATCACCAGAGGTCTTTCCCATGTCCAGGGGAAGAGAAATTGTCTTCAGTTTTGCCTTCAAGCTAAGTCAATGGGATCTTAAGAAACAGGGCATCAGTTTGCAGCAAAAACATCCTCGTCTGAGACAGCTGAGACTAGCTTCCCCACTTCTGAAGTGATCACTAGCACAAAGAATCAATCACTTTGGGCATAATCTCAAAGCAAGATTCTTCTGTGTGATGAGAGATTTTCTCTGATTAAGAAATCACATCAAATAGCTGTGGTGCCTTGCTCTTTTTAGTTTAGGCTTCCAGCACTTGTTTTTCAGAGAAAATGAGCAACTGAAATTCTCCCCCGTCTCACCAACTAGGTTAATGTATTGCCACCAGAATGGAGTAGGTTTCCAGTGAATGCCACCGGGACAGTTCAAAAATCCTAGAAGAACTTCATGCCGCCTAATCATCTCCCTCTAAGTGTCCCGGGCTGGGCAGCCAAAACTGGAGCTCATTTTTGCAAAGCTAGGCACACACAATAGTTTCATTTAGGAATAAGCAACACTTCAGATTAATTAATGGCTTCACTATATCCACACAGGTGAATCCCTTGTTCAAATACTAATTGCAGAATTCCCACTTTTTCTTAGACAGTCAGAATTTCTCCACTCTATTTTAGTATATTTAGGCATAACTTTTCTTACCTATTTTATTACCATTATCTCACTCAGCATTTCTGAGCAGAGCATGGTAACTTTTCTGCCTTGCATTAATGTATAATGAACATCTAGCTTTATTTTGCTTTGTACCTGAATATCCTTTGAGACAATTGCAGACTAATTGTGCAGTTTGGGAGTCTTCGTAGCAG